GTGGTGTGTGACCTCTGTGGTGTGCTGTAACAATAAACGATTTCTAATGGTTTCACCGATTCCTCTTCTAGCCTCATGTTTTCACAGTAGATGTTTTAGATGAGCCAGACTTGCCTTCCGCCTCCCTCCCCTTCTTACTCCCTGCTCTTGGGGGAGATGGGGCAGGAAATTTCAGCACAGGCTCCGTATGTAAGAGAAAAACAATCCTGTTTGCCTGGATGGCCCAGGAGGGCTCGTCTGTAACCGACAGCAGCAGTGCCTTGACAGCCCTGGCACGGCCCGCGAGCCACAGAGATGAGCTGGGCGGTATTTAAGAGAGCCTATACGTTGTGTTGTTGCTGCAGAGGTGGAGCAGCCCCTGCCTGCGGTGCAGTACCGTGCCTGCTGGTCCCTCGTCACCCGCGGAGCAGGGCAGGGGTCGGGCAGATCACCTCGGCTTCCAGGGGAGAAGGGCTCTCCCGGGAGGCAGGAGTAATGGGCTGCATCCCAAGATGGGGTGGGAGGGATGTTTGGAAAGGCAGCCCTCCCGCCCTCGGGTTTGCAATGAAGCTGAACTGGAGTTTTTTTGCAAGAATTATTCTGGAATTGTTGACAAACTGAGCAATAAGCAGTCTGGACCTGGACGCTGGACTCCCGGGGAGCGTGTGGCTCTGTGCAGATCACAGCAGCGGCTGAGCGGTCCTGCCCCTGGCAGGATTTCCCCTCCCTTGGCAGGATTTTCTGCTTCCAGCTGGTTGTCCAACCGCCCCAAGCAGCCAACGCAGGACCCCGTGTGTGACTGTCACCCATTTCAAATGGGCACAGGTCTCGAGGGCACCATTTGCAGGAGCAGTGCCGTAGTGCAGCACCACCTTCACGCTGGGTCCTCGAGAGTGACGCCGCGGGGGCAGGACAACGTCTCTGAGCCACCGGCTGCTGCTTTGACACCAGCTACTTCCTCGTTGTTTCGCATTTACGTCCCTTCTGCTGACGGATGCAGCGGGGTGCCTCTGGGTCTCTCCTGCCTGGGCCAGCCGGACCCTCGGCGGTAGCTCAGCCCTGGTCCTGGCCCTGCCGGAGGAGGTGCCGGGGTTCCCGTGTCTCTGGGAAAGCAGCTGCGCCGTGTTTAACGGTGTTTAATTAACACTCCCTTGTACCCGCTCAGCTGTGGCAGTGGGGTGGGGGCCGGCACCCCGCAGTGCGAGCTGAGCATGGAGCTCTTCCAGCTGTGTTTTAGTTGGCCAGATGTTTAGTTAAATAGAGGAGTGTCCTCCCTCGAAGAAAGTCGTTGAGGCAACATTGCTCGTTGCTAATTAAACCCTGGAGAACACAAGCAACCTCATGCTGCTTCCTCTGCTGCCCCACGCAGCGCCCGGAGCCCTCCCCGGTGCCCCCAGCCCTGGCACGGCCCCGGCTCCTTGCCAGAGGCACTGGCGAGGTTCGGGCCACCGGACAAACGCCAGGGCAAACCTGCCCGTTACAGACACAGCACGTGTGAAGGTGAGAGTGGATTTCAATCCATTAACATTTACAGGAGCAGGTTATTTGTCACTTCTCCCAGAGCGGCTGCCAGAGTCTCTCTGTATTTCCACCGCGGCACTCGGTGCCCGATCCAGCCAGCGTGGCATTTAACGTGACT